ACATAAGAATTACCAGTATCTAAAAACCTAAATGCAACTGTGCCTGCACTAGCCTCAATTACTCATGTGCTTAGTTTCACATTAACTGAATTTTGGGTTGTTTTAAATGTGAACTGATATCAATTTACAATAGGCATTACACTGAATACTGAATTATTTAAACTCACATCATAATTACAATTTATCTACATTAATAAAGAAGTAAATAATGTATTAGACTTTCTGAAAACTTAAAAGAGTTGGATTTTTTTCTTTGCAATTTTATCCAATTGTAGTCAATTCTGTATTTTGATATTTGGCAGCACGAAATAAAAACAAACTGCGATTTACAATTGTGATAAAAAAAAATCAGACCATGTCTCAATATTAAATGGACAGTGACTGCAAAGTTGAAAGATGAGGAATTATAAATAAAATCAAAAACTCTATTGAGCTATCCTCAAAGTGAGAAAAATGAACTGGCTATAAAACTGGGTAACAGAAGGCATAAGAATAACAGTTATAGGAAGGTGTTATGTTAAAATATGATTGATTTTAGCTAGCAGTCAATACCTGGTAGTTTTTGCATGGTGATATGTAAAAATTACCAAGATTATATTATAGGGAGATTGATGTGAAAGTAATAGATGCAAATTTGGTTTGTACAGGCAGCCTTAAAACATGAGAAAATAAAGGTACGGTATTGTAAATCTATATATTACTAAAACTCTGATTCCTGTAACCTGTAACAGGGTGAAACAGTGCACCATAGGACAAAACCTTTTGGAGCAGGGGTCCCCAACCCCTGGTCCGTGGACCAGTATTGGGCCGCGGCATGCCAGCAACCAGTCCGCACAAACAAGCAAATGCTCATTCACGGGATGCAGGCAACACACAAAACCATGCTCCCTCCAGTCCGCGGAAAAACCTCTCTCCATGAAACTGGTCTCTGGTGCCCAAAATGTTGGGGACCTCTGTTTTGGAGGACTTTCAGTTTTGACCCGTAGCGCACAGCCGAGGGATTGCGATGCTCCGTACCCCACAGCTAGTTTCGCCCTGCAGGGGACTCTAAATGGGTCTAAAGTTGCCCTGGAGAGGCGACAAAGAAAGAGGGGCGCCCTGATGATCGTGGAACGATGGCGGTCATCCTGCTCAATCCACAGGAAGCCCTGTAACCCAACAGGAGAAAGGCTGGCCACACCTCGGTGACCAGCCCAAGTCTTGCAACTGAAATCCAAAGGCAATAACCAGAACAACAGTGAACAACATGTTTGAAACTGGGTGAGGAATTCGATCTTCTCTCTCTTATTTTGTATCTGATTTCCTGGAAAAGATTCCCAAGAAACAAAAATCCTCCCAAAGTGAGAAGGGGAGGGAGTACACCCCCATCCTCCCATAGACGGAAGTGGCAAATTAAACTCTTATGGGAAACAAAAATATATTGAAATGCAGTTAAAAATACTACAGTCTGGATAAACAAACACACTGAGCTGCATTTTTAAGCTGCATTTGGTTAATCTTCTAAAGGGGAAGTTACTGGAAAGCTTTCAGGTGGTTAAACACTTTGGACTGAAATCTTGGCTGGCTGATAATTATAAGACCCCTGAAAAGAAGAACTGTTACAAAATACTGTTTTCAGTGGTGCTTTGATAATTGAAAACATTTATAAACATTTATAAAAGCCATATATAAAGATAAGAACTACACAAGATTTGGTTGTTTGGATTTTAAGATGGGCTGGTTTGATAAAGCTAATTAAAGATACTATGGTACCGGTGAAAAACTACTTAGAGGAGGAAGACAAAATGGATGTTGTATATTTATCTAAAAATGATAGAAAACCACACCTAACACCTCCTGCTGAAGACCCCAATGTGGACCATCAGAGATCTGCAGGAACAATGACTCAAGACAATGCAAATACATTCCAGGAGAAAATATATGCAATGCTGCGACAGATTCAAATGACAATTGTCTTAAATCATGACGAGATTAAAAACAACTTTGATAACATAAATGAACATATCTCTAACCTAAACTCAATTAAACAATGCTCAAAAAATGATGGTAAAAATGAACAAATAAATCAGACAATAGAACACAAATCAGAGGAAAATGACTTAAATATAGAAGCTACAAATGAAGAGAATTACAACTTAATACAAAAGAAAATCCACAAAATTTTGCTACAACAAAGGAAATAAAAAAGATGTTTTACCTTCCAGGACTTCAAAACAAACTTGAAGACAAAAAAGATTTAATAAAATGGATTAAAGAGCTATCAGGAGAATTATTAAAGCGTAGGAGAAAAAAACAAATATACTTGTCTTTTTTATCTCCAACAATATGTATAAAAATACAACCTGACAAGATAAACCTACTGATTTGGAAAGCAACCTGGCAAAAGAAGAAGATTAGAATTAGATTTAAGAGATGTGATTCAACTTACCAGATGGAATACTATATGACTAAACACTTGTTTGAATACGTTTAAAAAATATAAAGTTTGGATATAAAGAGTCCCTATAGTAAGATTGCTAGATGATGTACTATATGATTAAATACTTGTTTGAACATGGTTAAAAGAATAGACAAAGCTTGGACATAAAGGGGCCCTACAGTAAGAAGGATAAGATATATAAGTAGTATAATACTTTTATAATATATGAAATGTAAAAATACTGAGATGGTGTATTTGAATGAAAAGTTTGGATATTCAAAGGTACTGAATTTTGAGAAAATTATACTGATAAGAGTGGTTTCAATACTGAGGGGAAATTAAGCTTAAATAAGAATCTTGAAAACAGGACATATAATGACTTAATAAGATGACTTCTATAAATACAATTGAAACATAAGCTGATTAGAAAAGATGTTATATGTTGATGTTATTGTTATATGTACAAATACTAGAAAAAATGTTTATACCCAACTCTGTATCTATTGAAAGTATTAAGAATTATATTTGTTTAATGTAGACAAAAGGAGAAGAGAGGATCAAGAAAATATATTATCAACTAACATATTGATCAATTATAGAAATTAATTATTATTCTTTTTAAATATATGAACCCAGACAACACATTGTTCACTAAGCACTAAAGATTGTTACTTCCAAATATGTCCAAAATCCAGGACCCATGACTCCTGTGGAACTAAGATTTTGTAGATTTTATAAAACATTTTATGAAAAAAATATCATAAAAGTTTATGACATAATACAAGATGTCATAAAACATTTCCAGTGCTGATGTTTGAATGTGCTATACAGTTCAACATGCATTTTTTTCAAGACAGATAGATGTCTAAATGTATACCAACTTTTCCAGTAAAGGCAACACATTAGAAGCTGTCATTGTTGAAGGCATTAAGGAATCTGGTAAAGAAATATCACTGAAATGGATGATTCAAGGAGTCATGAGTTGTCTAGTCTATATGCTAACACCCTGTGCCCTTTAACTGGGCAAAACAGTTCATCACAGGGCAACAATTTTTGAACCAAAGTATAGCACCTCAACTGGACTAATTTACAGAATGCATCCAAAATCTGAAATCAATAACTCCCACGGAATTGAAATTTGGCAAATTTTATAAAATGTTCTGACATATTAACTGTCATAAAACATTTTCTGTGGTCAGTCCATGGTGTTTGACTGTGCTATACAGTTTAACATGGGCTATTTTCAAGCCAGATATATCTTTGAATATCTCCCTGAATTCTTAAGCACTTTCCAGTGAAGGTAGTATGTTAGAAGCTCTGCTATTGTTGAAGGCATTGAGGAGTCTGGTAAGAAAATAGCTCTTAAGTGACGATCCAACTAGTTTGTTTAGTGCCTCTATAAAATGAGCTGGAAAGAATGTATTCAGTGGATTCCCATTTGTCTACCATTGCGGAGCAATTTTAGTCTTCCACAGAAAAATTAAATACTTGAAATTTTCCTGTACTCATAGACAGTTACATTGATTAATGTGATAAAAATAGTTTGCAGAAAATCTTTTGAATTCTAGGTTAGGTATTTCATAATGAAATTGACTTTGATAATTCTCTTAAGAAAGATAATCATAATGCACTTTTTGTTATATATATTTATTTATTTATTACATTTGTACCCCGCCCTTCTCCTGGTGGACCCATTAATTATCCAGAATCCATGGATAATGTAAGTTAGGTGGTTTAAGCTGAGTTTTGCAGGACAAGTGATATATACTTTATCTGCCAAGGCACTGTAGATGATTTTATCAATAATATATCAAATAGTGATACAGCTGTGGTGACAATAATATAGTAAGTCAGATGTGATCAGAGAACTCTGGTGTTATCTCAGGTGAAAATAGCACCAGGGTTCTCTGATCTTTGTTTCATGCTAAGATTTTTGTTGTTAAAATACTGCACTTATTAAGATATAGACCTCAGTTAATAACAGCAATTGGGACTGGAATTGTTGTTGCTAAGCAATGTGGTTATAAAGTGCAATGTCATGTGATCATGTAGTTTAGCAACAGCAATTCCAACACTACTAATTGCCATTGTTAAGTGAATCATTGGCTTCCCTATTGACTTTGCTTGTTGGAAACCAGCAAATAAGGTTGCAATTGGTGATTTTGGAATGCTGCAATATTGTAATTGTGAGCCAGGTACTGAGTGCCTAAATTGCTATCAGATGATTGTGGGGGCATTCTGATGATTGAACTCAGTAGACAGGTTGAAACTTTGAACCATTACTGAATGAGTGATAGTGTCACAATCCTGGAAAATTATATTACTAAAGGCATCTAAGAGTTCAGAACAAGTGCTAGCTGCTATATATTGTAGTGTATATGAAACCTAAAGACAATATCAGGCTAGAAATTCTGTATGACATACATTTTTATTTAAACAGACCATTTTGAAAAAAAAATACAGCTCAAAAATTCTTATGAAATAGTTAAACCACATTTATGGTTCCCATCCCTTTCCTCCAGGTTGTTGTGGTAGTTTAAATCCTACAAGTCCTGCCACTATGTCTGGTGATCGTTCTCCTTTGCCATGATATTCCTTATGTAGTACTAAGTGTTCCCGGATACTACGCAGAAGACAGAGATAAGTAGCAGCCTGAAAATGTAAGTCATGCTGGGCTTTGCAGAGTTTTTCACTGGTTACCTGGAGTCAGAGAAAAGACATGCATAAGAAACGGTATTGTTTAAGTCTTTCAATTCAGATAAATATATTTTTAGCTTACAATAACAAGCCAATATGCGTGTGTCCAATAAAGCTGCCAGAATTTATTAGTGGCAGCACAATGATAGCATATATGAAACTACTGTTCCACATAGAAAATTAAAACCTAAGAAAATGTTCACTTACATTTTTATTCCATTTTTAATATAATCCTATCCTAAGGAATAACACAATCCTACCTTGTAAATACTTTCTCCATGTGCTTTGCATTATAATGTCATGTGACCAAGATAAAAGTTTTTTTTTAAAAAAAAAATCTTCCAAATTGTCTGAACCAGTGGCTCTCAACCTGTGGGTCGGGACCCCATTTGGGGTCGATCGACCATTTCATGGGGGTCGCCAAGCAAGGCTGTCCGCCATTTTTTTGTCCGCCATTTTTTTTGTCCGCCATTTTTTCCCCCCTTTTCCGGCGGGTGCCTTACCTCCCTTGGGCTGGGCCAGCTGGTGGTCGGCCTGCTCCGTCTCTGCTGCTTGCCAGCTACGCCTCGGCCAGCGCAGGGGGCGGAACCACGCATGCGCGGCACTCCCGGGCAGGGAAAGTCCTTGACTTACGACCGGTTGGGTAGTCCTCGACTTACGACCGGTTTAGTCCTCGACTTATGACCGGTTTAGTCCTCGACTTACGACAGGTTTAGTCCTCGACTTATGACCGGTTTAGTCCTCGACTTACGACCGGTTGGGGTCGCGGCATTAAAAAGGTTGAGAACCACTGAACTAAGCTATTCACAGTAGCTTTTTCCACTCCACGCAGGTGTAACATTCCACATGTTAGAACTCCACAACGGCAACTCCTCTCCTCTGCTTGCAATAGTCCTCATTCCACTTGCTATGGCTCTCAGCTGCCATACCCCGCTGTATTGCATTATGTCCAAACAATGCAATATGTTTAATATCTTGAAATTGACATCGAATACAATGGGGTGGGGGAGCAGAAGAGGATCTATGAAATGCCTTGAACCTTCTGCACAAGAAACTTGCTATCGTACGCTTTAATATTTTAGCTTTAACAGTATCATGAATCAGTACAAAATTACATTTTAGTTAATAGTTGCATAAAAATCCAGGTGCCTACTATTAGGGACTAGCGAAGCTGTGGTGACCCTAAAACAGAACTTCTAAAGCCCAGAGAAAAACGCCATATTTGAAGGCAAAAGAAGCGAGTCGTTATTAACGCAAAGGTCGGACAGATTTCGAGTATTAGCAGCGAAATACACATACCCGATGGCAGCGGAAAGCTTCCTTCAAGTAACGATATGCTGCCTTGTTTCTGTAACAGACATCGCTCCCTCCTAGAGCAGAACGGAGCTCCCTCAGTAAACCGCGAAAAGTGCGCAGCGGCGACCCGAGAGACGCCATCTTGCTTCCGCTATTGGAATGCGATATCCAGCCAATCAGAGAGCCCAATCAAAAAGAAAAGATCTGGCACTTTTCAATAGCACGCAGTGTAAACTTACAAGACCAACCGGGTGTTTCCAGGTCGTGTTCTTTTCATCTTCAGCTTTATAGAAGCGCAATATTTGAGCGGGACGCGAGCATTTCAAACGTGATGGATACCTAATCTTTTGTTCCTGATGTATTGTAACGTAGTTGCCATCAGTTCAACTATTAGAGCTTCATCTCATCCATTAGTTCAGGAATAATGATACAACGGAAAGCGTTAAATAATTCGAATATATCGATGAATTTCAGACCCGTTTGAAAAGAGCAGGAAAGCAAGGGAAGCTTTGAGCCTTTTCTTTCAAAGTAATTCTCTGCTTTATTTGGCCCTCGAAAGGGTTCGTATCGGCCCATTAGAGGAGATTTCCGCGACCCGCTACTCTCGAAGTCGTATTTTCGATGCATCTACGGGGGGCCGATGTGTAAGTCGTTCCTAACATGCCTAAAAGCGAGATTTCAGTAAACGATTAATATATACTACTATGTTGATACACATTCTGTAATAGGGAGAATATTGCCTTAAAACGACCAACGCAATACATTTGACACTGAGCTAATTACATGTAGTGCTCCAAATATATTTTTCCGCTCAATTATAGGGTTATCGTAGATAAAAGGAACTTTTCACAGAGCATTGCTTTTAGTGAGCCCCAGCATTAGCTACGGGCGCCACTATGATTTTCACTGTACTTTTGCATTCTGAAGCAAGATTTTGGTGTGGATCAGCAACTTATTAGGGGGAAAAAAAGAACATAAATCAAAAATATAATCACCCCAGATGGGACTCGAACCCACAATCCCTGGCTTAGGAGGCCAATGCCTTATCCATTAGGCCACTGGGGCTAGTACAAGCCAACTTCTTCCAATCATCTAGTTAACATCACAATCCTTTGTAGATTGGTCCCACCCCTTCCGATCATGTTATATATTCATGGTTAGTAACGCTTTACACTCAGGAAGTCAAATCATAGATATTTTTACGTGATGCACAGTACACCCTAAGACCCATATGGAACTGGATTCAAAAGCTTTCTAACAAATCACCTGCATCTTCTGCTTTCACAGTGGATATTAGAGCAGAATATTAACTTGTCCATTTTGTTCAGGTACTGATTTGCATATAAGTAGGAATAGACGTTCGAGGAAGAATTGTACTATTTCTTTGTTTCATTTATAAATGCATTTCAGAAACGTCCTCATATATTTTTTGCATTTGAACATTTACCTGGTAGCACCAACACTTTTTTAAGTATGGTATAGTCTATCTTCTGTCCAAATTTTTGACATCTGATGTGTGTACTCTACATGTATTATTAATCCCACCTTTTTATATGTAATTGAAGTGGCGAACATACCTAATATTCCAGCTATTTTCCCCATAACAACCCTGTGAGATGGATTGGATTGAGAGAAACTGACTATACTCAGTTTTTCCTCTTCCTCGTAGATGTTTTTCCCCCCCAACTTCTGAATTGGTCCATAATTCATATTATTTAACAGTAAAAGAGTAAAAAGCAGTAAAAAGCCAGAAGTTTACATTCATTCTTCCAGCTAAGACTGCAAAAAGTTATGCTGCCTCCTACAGCCAAGTGTTAATGTGCTTCAGTCACAATGCTCATGAGTTGTAGTTGTTAAAAGATTTAATATAGGATTAGTGCCTTCTCTAGCTTTCTTTCTCCAGCTGGAAAAAACACCACCAATTGTTCTCCATAATGTATGGCAGAGCACAGTTGGGGGACCCTGAGTATACATGTGCAAGATTGAAACCAAACGTTTAATTTTCAGTGAAATGTGTAAATCAACATGCAATTGAGGTTTTGGCACAGGAATGCTAGGCTTTCAACAGACTGAAGTTTGTTCCCTTGTTCAAAAATCGTCTGCCTGACAGTGGTGGGGCAGGGAATGGCGCAAAGTGGCATGAGAGCAAGCTGACAAAATTCTTCTTTCTCATCCCTACATCTGTCACCTAAGATGTGATGGTTGTTTTTTCAGGGGAATGCTGATCTGAAAGGTGCAATCTGAGCAATCGGTCTAATAGAACAGGATTGAGCTTGCAGGCAACTGACAGAACTCTCTCCTGCAGCTTACTGTCCTGTGGATTGTTAATCATGTGGCAACCAATTTAAACAGAAAGCAGGATGCTCCCAGAGTGTAACATATTGAAAAATATCTGGAAAAAGTAATAGAACCCTCAACTATTATTTTCACTTTATAATCAAATTATTTCCTAGGTTCCTAAAGCAAGAACCTTTTCAGTCTTTCACAGCTTCAGTTGGTTAAGAGGTTAACTATAAGTGAAGAATGTCCAGGTGGTCAGCATGCAAATCTCTCTGAACATAATTACAAGGAATATATTTTAAATTTTTGACAGAGGAATGCCAAGTCATTCTAGACTGATGTTCTTATATACTAAACTATCTTGACAGGGTGCCTGTGTACGTGTGTGTGCGTGTTATATTTTAAAGCAACTGAAAATCTCTAATGCACTTATTTGCTACACAAACACCAATAAAATGCTCCAGAAAGTTACTCACTCTCAAGCTAAATTAACCAAACTGCCAGTAACCTTCTCAGATTTTTTCTTTTATGGGCCTGCTAAACAGATATTTTCTTCTTCGAAAAGATTGCATTGCCTAACTGGCGCTTTCTAGTGAAACAATAGGCAAGCAGATGTCTCTGTAAAGCCAAACATGGAGTTGCTTGCAGCCAAAGCCAAAATGGCCAGAGCGCAGTCCCTGCAATTGGAGAAGACAGAGAATGATCACAGAAGCCCCAAGTGGTCAACAGGAAGTTGGGAGAAGATGAGAAACACTTTAACAGTGGAGCAGCTAGAGAGAACTTTTGGTTGCCTCTAAGTGGACTGGAGATGAGATAGAAATGGCATTATGAAGTCATGCCTGTTAAAAAGAAAGTTACCTATTTGGGTAACAACTATGAAGAGTCACAAGAGTGTGAACCAATGGGGAGATCAGCTGTATTTAAAATTATGGCTCTACCAAAATGAATATACTTATTTTAAAACATTCTTGTGCAAATTCTTGGTAATATAAATTATTGGTAAAAATTAAAGAAATTTTCTTTTCAGACCTCAGAATCTTGTACTAAGTTATTTAATATGCCCTCAGATCCTGACATTTAATTAGTACAGTATTTTACTTTATAAACTCAAACAGCACTGAATACATCATGATTTCTTAAATACAAGAGAATGCTATAAAACACTAGATATATAGGGAAATGTTTATAGAAAACCAGTCAGTTAATGCTTTATCCTTTTTAAAGGGAAGAAAATACTAACATAGATTTAGAAACTATAATTGCTCCATTACTTCCAGGATATCCAGATTATGGTATTCGTTATGCGATATATGTACAAGCTACACAGGGTACCATTATGTGATATATGTACTCAAGGTACACAGAACACAGTGGTGAGAATTTACATAGAAATTTCACATCAGATATCTCTAAACACTATTTTTAGTTATACTGGCTCCCAATCTAAGAGTAAGTATATTCAGTTCATCTATTCTTACATTCCTAGCAAATAATCTATTCAATATTCCTTGAGAGGTGCTGTGAAAAACTTTTTCAGCTATCATTAGAAGCTACAAGACATAGATTTGTTTGTTCCCACTTACCTATTTTCCACTATCCAGGGGCAATTCATTAGTCATCATATAGGGTGTGGCTCTTTTTTTTTTTACTGTTGTGAATTTGTTTTGGTTATTTTAGAAACAAATTATATCAATTTCTGCTGTAGAATTATTTAATTACACTTCTGAAAAATAAGCACGTCTGTTTTCTAGGTATCTTGCACATTACCAAATTAAGATATGCAAAAGAGTTTGTAATAACATATACCAGCCACACAATGTGTATGTACATTCCTCTTTATTTAATACAGCACAGACACATGACACATACAAAAGAAAAACACTCATGAAACTCCTGCCACATTTAAAGACAGGCACATCTACTCTCAGTTTGAACAGTCAAACTGAGCACTTCTCATCAAATATCTGCTAGTTAACTATAGATGGATTCTCAGATAAAGCCTCCAGCCAAAATAATAATAATCCACACCCTGTTTGAAAAAGTGAAATTGAGACAGTAATTTCTGGATTATAGAAGCAGGCAAACCATTGAAGTAAAATCACTCTTCTAGAAAACTCAATCCATGAGTTTTTGGAGCAAATATATGCTATTCACCCTTTTAGTTTTCAGGCCCATGGTATAATAAAACATACTAAGAGTAAAGGATTTATTTCCCAGTAAATTTAATTGTATTTTGAAACTGGAAAGAACCTGAATATACATTCAGAACTGGCATAGGCTTTTTGTGGCAGCAGTTTCCCCTTTTCTGTACTCCAGTTTTACATGGAAAGTAAGTAGGCACCAGGTCTTCTGATAAAGAGCCTAACATACTTTAAAACAGATATTTATAAAAAGGAGAATGAAAGGGTTATTTACAAAATTCATGGCTGGTGCAATACATCTTTTAAGACACACTATGTTACAATCTTTCAGGTCCTGAGATTATTATGGAAAAAATAATAATTCAAACATCGCGTTTGGAATCATTGAAACAGGAGAAAAAGATCAATTCATTCTTTTAAATCTTTCAGGTTGGTAGAACACATTTCTGTAAAAAGTAAGTCAAAAAGCAGTTGGCACAAGTAACTAAATAATGTGTATAATTATACAAGCCCTCTTACTGAGAGCAGCTACATATTTGTTGCATGGAAAACATGTCACGAGGAAGACAAATATTCTTCCCAGATGGCTCAAACCTTCCACTAATTTTAGAAATACTCAGGTTCAAAGATAGAGCCAAGCTATACACAGAACAGAATAACTGCTTCAGATATGTTTACCAGGCATGGATAATTTTAGCACCACTACTTGATAAAAATAGATACCTTAAAGAAGTCC